GCAATAGCACCTTATATAATAGGAGACCAATGCCAGTTTTTGGAAGAAGCCAAAACTTTGTTGAGAAGCACAGAGACATTGTTAAAAATAAACATAAAGATCATCACAACTAGTACTCCTTAATAAAATATCACTGTATAAAAAAACAGCAGTATCAATCATCATTGATATGATGCTAATAATAATGTGTGCAAGTTTACTCTCTCTTATTTAATAGGAACATAAATTCCATAGCAAGTGGAATGTTTTATGCTAATAGCAGCATTTCCAATTAAATTGCCAATATAAATCGCTTTGACATGCCATCATTATTTTAACAACTACGTTTACACCATACACCTTAGAGCCCTTATATCCTTTGGCTTGTAAAAGAAAAATGACATATCAGTCAAAACATGGCAGGCTGAACTCTACTGAGAAAACTTTATAGCATAACAAAATCCACATGACTTCAAAGTACCTAAGGTTTACAATGAGATTCTCCCCAGAATGCTAAGCCTTTAAATGATGGATGCAAATTGCCAAGAAATCCATAAATTCATCTTTCCTCAATTATTTAAAGCTAGAACTATGGGCATGGATGGAGAACATGGGGGCATAAGATCTGACCATGGTCCAAGAACTGTCATAAAGGATCTAGGTGGTACTGGACTCATCTTTAGCCTCAGTTTCCATAAATGAGGTTGTCAAGTTCTCTTTCAACTCCAACTTTCTGCAACAACAACTTCCATAAAAGATGAAGAAAAACTAGGTCATTTCATGAATTCAATGCAATTCAGGACACAATTTCCTATAATAGCTTCCTCCTATCCCTATAAAATATACCTCATCCCTGGGTTTGTCCCGTTTATACATCTAAAAAAGCAAAAGTATGTGAAAGGCAGAGCTAGGTTTGCAACCAAATCTGCATTCTTCCTACTAGCTGTGTGACCTCATTGCTTCTTGGCCTTTAGCTAACATCAAGTGTAGCTTTGTGACCTCGGACAATATACTCACTTGCTAAAATCCAGTTTCTTCATTTATAATAGATAATATTGTATTGTAAGGAGGAGATGATATTTCTAATCCATGGAAGACATTGTGCCTTTGATCTAGTTGCACTCAATAACGAATTGTTATTGTATATATAACTCTCTTTCTCTATATACGGATGTTTATATTTATTCACACATATATATGACTATATACAGACATTGACTCATATGTAATATACACTATTAGCCTTGGAAAATTTTACCAGCCTGAAATGGAAGTCAGGAATTCTCATGTTATTAAATCAACTTGGAAATGCATGTAGCATGGTATGATCATACTGACATTTTACAATGCCAGTATAACCTTGAAATGATCTGTTATTCTATTCACTACCATCATCAGAACACAGCGTGACTGTTCTCAGTCTAACCAAGGTATACTATCACTCCAATACTAATGGTCTAGTCTTTCATTCAACAGTGTTTCCCTAGCTTAAAAATGGAATTTGGTCATTTTCCTGCAATAAATCAGAATAGCATCAGTTTGGGACACATCTGCTCCAATTTTATTTCATTAACTCACCACTTCAGATTATTAAGTAAAATAATTGAACCAAAGCATGCAAAGTATCCACATACCTACCTCAAAAGTAGATCCTATCTGAGGTCTTCCACATTCTAAGATAATTTTTCATCACCTTTGTTATTCCTTCAGTCATATTTTATTCTTTAATGTCATCACCTAGCTTCTCTTCAAAAGCACTCCATGCTCACTGCATTTAGTTCCTGAGTATTCCACAAAATGTTATAATCTGGCTTCCCCCCTATTATTTTCCTAAAATTGTCCATGTGATGGTCATCAATAATCTATGACCAAATCTGAGTACTCTTATGAGCTGGAATTAACTTCAAACTTTCCTAGAAGTTTGTATCTGCCATCTATCTAGAATCCCTATCCTCTTGGCAGTGTTTACTCTGCACATTCATGCTTCTAGCTGGTATTTATTAAACAATCACCTATTATTTCCTATGTAACATGTATGCCAAATACTATACATTGGCTATCTCATTAACTCTTATCAGATGTAATCTCACAGGTATTTGTGTGAGTGTAGATTCAAATGTGTCTTCTCATCCAGGCCATAAATCCCAAGAGACCAAGGAAGTGAAATTCAAGCACTCAAATACTATCTACCAGTTTGATGATTACAGCCCAAAGTACTAATTTTCCCCTTCCATTCACATATCATATATTCTATTACAACTACTTATACCTGTGTTACATTCAGTGACTGATGACAAATCAAGTCAAGTCAGTTGACTTCTATTCCTACCAAGGACTTGCACTAGAATATTTCAGGATGAGGCAAATCAAAAATTAGACCCTAGGAATATAGGTATTATACATTGGCACAGTATGTAACAACGAATATACTGTGCCTCCAATTATAAACCAATATTTGGAGAGATATTTTGCCTAATGCCTTCCTTCAAGAAATTTAACCAACTCTAATGTAAAAAGATTGACAGTCAGCCTGAGCATATGAACCAAGCTATGAACAATCAACCCATTCATTGTCTTGGTTAAAATAGATAGGATCTTCCTAACTGGGCAAGATTTCCCATCCTCTGTTACCTCTCTTGTGCTTCTTTTTTAAAGTTCAGTCCTCTTTCTTTAATTAAAACTGAATTAATAAGTTTCTTCCTTCCCAGACTCTCCAACAAAGCTTGTTCAAGAAACTTTTTCTTCTTATTCAGACAAGTCAGACACGAATCTGGGCTTCAAAGCACTTATGGATTAAAGAAGATACAGAATATGTTTAAGGAACTATAATTCCCATGAGTAAGATAACAGGCATAAGGCATGGACAACTAAACCTGGACAGGAATTCAAGAGAGGAAAATATTTATCTCATTTCAGAGGATCTTACAAGACTTCATGGAGAATTTATATTTTATATGGTTGATGAAAGATGAGAAGGATTTAGTTGCTCAAGGATGAGAAAAGGAATAGGTTCAAAGGAATAACATTAAAAAGATGTGGAAGTCTGAAAAACCTTTGAATATGTATGGAATATTAGGTAGTAGAATTTAATTGTGATAGTTAATTGTATTATTATGGTTACATTCCTTTTGAAAATGCAAGAATTATGGTGGTCCTATTCTCACAAAAAAAAAAGAAACTTTTATATATAGTTCATTGATCAGCTGAGATATTACAGTGGTTAAATGATTTTTACTACAACAATGCATCTTCCAAATACTAGTTGCTGGCCATTGTTTTGTATTCAGCACGTCCACCTTGTGTCACACCAAGAGGCCTGGGGATTTGAAAATGTCAAATTGCATTGAGCAAAAAGAGGACAGATTTTGCATAAATATTTAAATCTTAGACACAAATTCATGAATGTGGGAAATGTAAAAAATTGAAGTAATTGAAATTTCTCTGGGTCAATTTTCAGTCCAAATCTTGTTTTTAAAATAGTCTGAGAAAACTTGATTTTGGGGCTAAACATTTCTGGGTTGATATTACAGTTGTTGTTTTGTTTTATTTTTCCCCCAATTGGGTGAATTATTATTTTAGTTGATTTGGGTTTAACTTTTTCCCCTTGGCTATGTGCTATAAATCAGGTTATAGCAGTTTACATTCCAATGATGCCTTATCTCAGTTATACAGTAGTTATCTAAGTCCCACAGCTCTGTTACTTCCTAGCTACACCATTCCTACAAGACAGCTGTTGATCTTAATGGGCAGGAATAAAACAGATGAGCATTAAGAAACTAGCCTGGATGATGTGCCTCACAAAGAATTAATTTACATTTTTTACCAACTAATTAAAGCTAGAAAAGCTCAGGCAGGAGGATCCATGAAAGATACATGGAGGCCCTCTGTGTCTCCCATCCAGAATTTTACAGTTGAAATTGCATAGGTCAAGTTGCCTCTTGCCCAGTCCAAATGAGTCCCACCCATAAAAACACTGAAAAATAATTTGAAATCTCACAAATTCTCCTCATGAACTGCCAAAGAAAAAAAAATCTATCCTAAATCATGGTAAAACATCTGAACATCCATTTTTTTCCATTTCACCTGCAGACCACACATATCATAGCAGCTATACTAATATCCAGTGACTTGCTATTCAAAGCATGGTCCATGGACCAGTAGCCTTACTACCACCAGGGAATTCATTAAAAATCCACTCATGCCCCATTCTAGACCTATTCAGCCAGAATCTACATATTAACAGGATCCCCAGTTGGTTTATATATACATAATAATTGGGAAACCACTGCTTTTGTCTGTTGCTTCTCACACCTGAAGACACTATGACCAAGCAGAGTCTTGGGCCACATGCCAAGAGATTCTGAGTTAATAAGCTAGATAGTTGGATACCACCATGATTTGACAGAAGAAATGAATAATCATTGTTTCAAGGAGATCCTTGTCTAATGATAGCTAGAGGTATACAGACTATTGAGGCAGAGAATGTTGTGCTAATAGTATAAGTAAATTACTGACGGAAGCCCTAAAATGAACGTATTTTTAAACAGGGGGTTGGGATGCCCAACACAAATTTATAATTTCTTTGTGAGGTTATACTAAAATTATCTCGCCTTTCTAATACTAGAATTTATTCTGCTGGGAAAAAATGATATTGATGATAGTAGCAACATTTATAATTAGTCCAAGAAAAAAATTGTTGTACAGGTTTGTTGAAAAAAATGAAAGTACTAGAAAATGAGAAGTATTACAGTTTGATGAAAGTGTAAGACTAGTTCAGAGAGCAATTGAAACTTATTTTCCCATTCATAGCATTTATATTCAGATATGCTAAACTTACTATTTTGCATTCATTCAGACTTCCTTTGTAAATAACATAATGCTAAAGTTCCAATTACAACATAAACTCTCATAGGTGAAGTGATTTTCTGTTTACTGCTCTATCCCCAGTGACTTAAATGTTACCTGGTACATCAGTGGCACTCAAGAACCCTTTGTCTTGGAACTCACCGGGTCAGGCAGCTGGGGGAGGGGGCGCGGCCCTGGAGCAGGGGCTGTGCCGGTGTGCGGGGACCCGGTGCTGTGACTGCGGTGGCTGTGAAGCTGACGAGATACTACCAAAGTTCCTCTGGAAGTGAAGTGGAATTTCATAAGAACGCAATGGATGGAGAAGAAAAAACCTATGGTGGCTGTGAAGGCCCTGATGCCATGTATGTCAAACTAATATCTTCAGATGGCCATGAATTTATTGTAAAAAGAGCCCTTACCTCAGGAACTATAAAAGCCATGTTAAGTGGCCCCGGTCAGTTTGCTGAAAATGAAACCAATGAAGTCAATTTTAGAGAGATCCCTTCACATGTGCTATCAAAAGTATGCATGTATTTTACCTACAAGTTTCGCTACACCAACAGCTCCACCGAGATTCCTGAATTCCCAATTGCACCTGAAATTGCACTGGAACTGCTGATGGCTGCGAACTTCCTAGATTGTTAAATAAAATAAATTATAATAAACTGTTAACTTTTTTTCAGTATTTAATACCTGTAGTTCAATTAGTAATTTTTTCATATATAGCATGTTGCCTATGTGCAGTCGAACTTTAAAGTTCATTACAAAGCAGATTATCTTCTGTTCTTTTGCATAGCAATCAAAGTTGAAATTTGTTTGCTACATCAACAAATTCAGGACATTTTCACAAACTGAGATATAAACAATGCCAGTTCATAGGGGGTTTTGCCTTATCCTTTGGGTATGGTTTTTAAAATTAGAGCAGTGGTGATACAGTAAATGCCGAAAATTAGGCACCAATGAACATGTTCTACAGGTAAATAATGGGGCAATGTATTTTTATGTTTTTAGTGTTTTTTTTAAAAACTTGATCTTACAGCTGTCATTAGCATCACTAGTTATGCAAATAATTGCATTATAAACGTGTTTATAACTTAGCCAAAACAATTGATTTTTATAACTGTCAAGGACATAGAGTTGGTGTTTCTTATGTGTCTTTTGATAAACTGCAGTATTGTTTAAATGTATCTTATCTTTTTGTTTAATGCTACAACTTAAGAATTTTATTTAAAAGCAGTTTTGGAAGATTATAAGGTACAGTTTTGGAGTGGTGACATTTTAAACTGTAGCCAGATGGTCAAAGGTCAACTATGCCTTTGATTTCCTGTGCATTGTGCATTTTGGCCAACCCAAAGTACATGCCTTCAGCTACTATAAAGCTTTTTTTTGCAATATTCATTCTTCTTAAAAAAAAAAAAAAGAACCCTTGTCTTGTGAATGAATGAAAGAATAATTAAATCCTGTATGAGGCTAATAACTGGTCAGTTACACATACACATGTTCTGTGCTATATATGAAGAAGTAACTTTAAAGTCAATAAATGGCATTCCAGGTTTCAAACATGGAATAACTTTTACAAAGTGAATTCTTATCTAGTTATTATTCAAGGGTAAAGGGAACCAGATATTTATGGCTCTCGTGCTAAAGATATTTAAATACTGTGTATTTTCATTTCCTTCATATATGTATTTTTTTTAAGATTTATTTATTTATACAAGAACTGGAGTACAGGCCAGAGATGTGGGAGGGTGAGGGAATTCACCAGAGACAGAGTGGGGAGCAGAACTGGCAGACGACCAAAAACACTGCTGAGGGGAGCAGCGGGAGAGGCAAGAGAGGTCTGCTGCACCATGTGGGTGTCGCCCTGGCCAGCCGGGAATCGAACATGCGCTGCAGAGGCTGCGGACAGCTTCACAGCACAGAGCTCAACCCACTGCGCCACTGGAGAGGCCCCATATATGTATTTGTGTGTGTGTGTCTTTCCCTTTTATCCAGAGTACTTTAATACATAAAGTTAAATAACATTTCAAAGATGTATTTCTGTGACTTTTCGTCTTAACACATTTCTGTAAGTAATAGTTTTCTTGACTTTTCATATATTGCATTATGTAACTCCCAGAGTCATCTCTCATCCACAGAACAAAGGTGTTGAGCAATTTGATGATCAGGACCCCTCTCCCCAGCTCTATTATTCTACCTAGCCTGTAGCTTCAACTTTTAAAGAACTCATCTTTTTAAATGGTTTTGAAGAACAAATAGCTTGAGTAGACATTTAATAGTGCAATTGTTTTCCTTTATCTTGCATCTAAATTTTACCTTGCTTGCATTTTGTTTTAAAAAAAATCAAATCAGAAGAAACTATAAGAAACTTTTCTTCGGGAAAAGAGGATTCATAACTAATTTTGGGGGAAAAGATAATTGTATATAGCGCAAAGATGAAATACAGGTAGATACAATGTTATAACCAGAATTAATATTAAAGATACTACTATCAAAGAGAGCCTTCTCTTTGGATCTCAATTTAAAGAATACTTTATTTTATATGACATCTCACAACTTTACTCCCAAAAGTCAAAGGATATTAAAATAAGGGAATAGTCATAAAATCCAGGCAGTTATTATTACCTCTTCAGAAATAAGTATTTAGCCTAGAAATTTTATCATAGATTTTCAGAGAAAAATAACCACGATAACACATACACACACACAATAACTAATGCAAAATAGTATTTCTAAAATCTTCCAGAAGAACTCAATGTATAACTGGGAAATAATTGAGGGACAAGGGAGCAGGACCATGTGCTTAGCAGAGCTCTTGGGTCTTAGATTCTAGATTCTTAAGCATAGGTGGATTATCTGCAAAGATGGTCACCCACAATCCCTTCCATTCTTTCCAATCAATTTCGCCCTCCCCTTGAATGTGGGTTGGCTTTGTAACTTGTTGGCGATAAAAGTGAGAGTGCTGCCTTAAGAAGTCAGGCAGTATCTGCTTTCATTCTCTTGAATTCTGAACCACCCTGTAAAAAGTCAGTTAGTAAAAAGAGAGGTAATGTGGAAAGAGGTCTGGGAGTACACGAAGGAAAGATCACAGAGACCTCAAGCTATAATTTCTTCTATTCCAGCTGAGGCCACCTAGTATCTTTCAGCCCCAGCAGCACCATCCCACACAATCATGTGGGAATGAAAGATCTGTCACACCCAGCCCAGCTCAAAAAACACAATTATAAGCGAATAAGTGAAATAACCAATAATGAAAACTAAGAATACAGTAAAAAAAAAAAAAAAAACCAACCCAAATTAGTGACTATTCTGACAGTTGGTTCAATGAAGTGTATTAAACAACTATATCCCAAACCTTGGACTCCTCTTTGTTTTTGAACAGAGCACTGAATGACAACAGAAGACTCAATAGGATTCCTCTCTTGGAATTCCACTGTTCACTGAAAATGACATCCAGAAAACAAACATGAGTTACATTAGAGGCACTCTATTGGAGCTATGAGAAGAAGTGGACCCACATGGAAGTTGACCTGGGGCATGGAGTGGGGAAGAGCCAACGAGGAGGTGACATTTCAGTTGGTTTTGAAAGCTGCATAGGAGTTTCCCAGCCAGGAAGTATTGGAGAGAGAGAGGTACATTTCAGGGATTCATAAATGAATCAGTTTCATTTATGCAGGAAATTTAAGCCCCATCTTAAAAGCCCAAACCACTCCTGAGTCATCTTTTTCCAAAGTTAAATAAAGAAGGAGAAAGTATATTTTTTTATTGTGGTAAAAACTTGTTTGCTGCTTCCCTAAACTGTCTCTCTACATTCAACTTTATGACCTATACAGTGGCAGAGAGAAAGAAATCCATGTGACAAATGGACAGACATTTAAAAACGTGTGTGCTCTCTCTTTCTGTTATCCTGCTGTAGACAAGTAATAAATAAAGAAGACTGTTTTATTTATCTTTGCTAAAAAAACAGTTCTCAATGTTCTTAATTAAAGGTAAAAAATCATTTTGTTATTTATTATGGAAGAAAAAAGAAGTTTTACGGACATGTGTGATTTTAAAGTTCCAGCATATAAAACATCTTTCATTAAAGTAGATAAGACAGTTTATAGCTCTTATTCAGTTCTAGGTAAGCTAGCAGATAAATAAAACCAGAACTGTGTAAGACTAGTTGGTCTCCTAAGTTGCTGCAATGTTAATAGACATTTGTTTCCACTTTGCACTCTTTTTACATTTGGAACTGCAAATTCAAGTACTTGAAGAATTCTGCAATCCAGATTACTGACAAATTTAGGTACCAAAGGGTATTCTTTGGTAATTTTTCTCTCTCTCTTTTTTTTAAACCAATACCATACCTCAGTTTACTTTGTGGAATTGAGACAGGAAGGTCACCTGTGTCTGGAGACAATCTCAACTTAGCCACATGACACCTGACTTGGATCAGAACCACCGGTCTGGAGGAAACACCCTGAATGGGGTCTTATCCTTAGCACTTTATAGGTGTTACCCCACTTCATCTAAAATGCCTTCTGGGTAAAGCATTAAAATCCCCATTTCACAAATGAAGAAACTCTGACTCAGAAAAATGATTAAATATGTTTTCCAGAAATGCAAAGCTGATAATCACCTCTGATTGCAAATTCTCTGTTCTTACATTTTATGCTACAATTTCTCCCCAAGGCCTATAAGAGCCACTTTACATCTAGAATACTGGTGAAAACCTCTCACTCCAAAAATGAGAAACATTTTTAGCAAAGTCAGAAATGTCGGGCATGAAAGGATGTGCAACATTTGACCTGTGCTTTAAAATCACTAGAGTATGTGATGAAAATAATCAAAAGCATATAAAATAGAAGAGCCGGGGAGTCAGGTAGAAATAGCATGACTTCGGGAACTTGTGGAACTCTTTTTGAATCTCAGTTTCAGCTCCTGAGACTTTGTGACCTTGAGCAATTTATGTAGGTTCTCTGAGCCAGTTTCAGTTTCCTCTGAGCCAATTATAAAATATATTAATACTTGCTACATCCCTCAGCTTATTAGGAGTACTAAATTGTGTAATTTATGTAAAAGCACCTAGCACAATGCTGCCTCATTTTTGGTAGTCAGAAATGTCAGGGTTGTTTTTTTTTTTTTTTTTTTTTTTTTTTTTCCTTCACTGCAGACACTGGGAAAAGAATATGACTGCAAAATTTCATCACCTACAAGTAAAGCTCTCTGGTTTGAAAGGTGAGAAAGAAAAAAAAAAGATCAGGAAAGACTCTTTTTCTGTAGTCATAAAAATATTTTCCAGCAATGGGTGAAAAAGGGCCCTTGCTCTCAGTTATGCAAAGGCCACGTTTAGAACTTCATATTGAAAACAGTGAAAGAGATTGTCCATGGGTAAAAGAAGCAGGTGGATGGGGTAAGCTCGGGCAAAAAAGTCACACAGGTCTGGTCAAAGATCTGGGCACCGAAAAGTAGAATATGTAACATGTTAAAACAACAGATTTCTCCCTGCTGCCTGAGTAGGACCAGCGGTGTGATGGCCACCACCCTGAGGGACAAAGCAGCCACACAGTTCCCCAGAAACCAGCACTACCAGATAGGCATCGTGTGCAACATGGATCAGGATCTGTGCTGGACAATGAGGACCCACAGTAAACAAACCCCAGTCAAAGACACATTTTTTTCCATAGAGTGGGGGAGTCATGAGTAAATGGTCAATCAACCTATGACACTGATCCCTGAACTATAGCATTTCACGCAATTTCTTGCACAAAAGTTAGGAGAAAATACGCCCTTGAAGAGATGACAGGTTTTAAGCAATTGTTGTGTTTCAGGTGTTACCATCAGGACTTTTGGTTACTTCCCTCATTTATTCCCACACCAAGTCTATCAGGTAGATGTTATTTCTTTTCATTTTATTGATGTGTAAACCAAGGCTTAGCTACCTTCAATGGCTTGTCAAAGCCACAAGATCTTAAGTCTTGGAAGTGGGCTGTAATGTGATGTCAAATTCCAGAGACTGCATTCATGAGGACACCAAGACTAGTAGTAACAATTTGATGAGATATTTCCATTGTACTTGCATCTGTTTCCTAGAAAAGGACTCTTCATCCTTTTATTCTGAAATCAAGAATTAGCAATCAACTCTTGCTCAAAGCGTTGGTCAATGACAGAATGGTATCACAGAAACTATGCTCTTGCACTCAATTTATAAAGGTCTTTTGGCAAGGTCAACATACCTTTTTAATGTGCACACTGCACCTTTGCTACTTTGTATAAAGGCATTTGTAAATTATTCTGGTTATCTTTAGAATACTTAAAATTGCTCTCTGGCATTTATATAATCAGCAAGAGATAATCAGATGAACTTTTTTTAACAATGAGCCACTTCCTGTTCATTATACTTATTATGTTTTTTTATGGCA